GGCACAATCCAACCTGAATACCTAGGTGTTATCAGTAAGTGGTAAGCTGAGGGAGGAAGTCGTGGAGGAATAGGGAGGTCAGTAGAGCCAGCTTGGGGGCAATGAGTTTGGGGGTGGGTGTGCTGAAAGAAATGTTAAGGATGAAGGAATGGTGTGGCCACATTTGTGGACTGAGTAATCATTCCATCCAGGTGTGGAGGGTAGATCTGAGAGGCCGTGTGGGAGGATTGATGGCAGGCTATGGGGTGACAGAGGAAGTAACTTAGGAGGCCCTCGGAGGTTGGAATCAGTGCTCTGTGGTGCTGTGCCGGGATGTGGGCTGTAAGGAGCTGATGTGGGGGAGAGGTTGAGTGAGGGTCATAGGCCAGCATCTAGTTTGGACAGCTAGATAATGGCAGTGCCCTTCATAAATGGGGCAGGGTCTCTGTGAGGAGGGCAGCTTGCGGGGAGGAAGGCAAAGCCAGTTAAGGGGTGAGAGTTGTGCTATGTAAGTATTTTCCCTGAGAGTTTTCCAGGGGCAGCTGGTGGACTCAGAGACAGGTCCATGATAGAAAGATGTTTATGGGACTGTCAATCTGTGTGTGGTTATAGGGTAGGGGGAGGATGAGGTAACTCAGGGAAGTCTCTTGGTGGAGGATTGATGGGCTGTGGTATGTTCTCTGGACCCTTGGAAGACTCCATCTTTCAATTACTTTCAACACCATTCTTCTACCCTCAAAGGTACTCCCTACATGGGACCTGCATTGGGCAGGGTTAGGGAGGTCAGGAAGTGGAAGACAAAGGCCTCCTGAACCACACACAATGGATGGACTTATGCTCTCTGAGAACTAGACCAGGGTCTCCATTGCTCCCTGTCTTCCGGCCTTGGATAGCTTGCCGCAGAGCTGTGAGGCCCCTGGTATAGGCCCTGTCTTTGCTGTTCTTCTCCATGTCCTGGTGACATGCATGCCTGTGTGTGTGTGTGTGTGTGTGTGTGTGTGTGTGTGTGTGTGCGCGTGCGCGTGTGTGCATGCATGTGTATGGTGTATGAGGTTGGGGCTCAGATGATCATTTAGTGGCTTAGTTTCCTCCAAGAGACCCATCTGAAACACCACCCCCAAACTTCTCCACCCATCACACACAACCTGTCTACAAAGCACTGGGAACATCATATTTATTAAGGGGGTTGAGGTACTCTATTGACAAATATAAAATCCCACCAGCCATCAAGTCCCTGGAGGCTCAGGATTTAGGGACTCAAGGGTGTTCCCCATCTTCTACTAGCCCTTGGATGAACTTCCGGAGCCCCCATAGCCATATTTCCCACCTGACCTGCTGCAGACGATAACACTGCCTTTGCCCATTTTCTTGGATGGCTTCTGTGAACGGGCAGTGACCGGGTAAGCCTACCTGCAGGTCATGGGTACACACCTGTATCCACCGTGGCCATCCCGACCTTTGTTAGGACAGCGGTTTCATCTTGGGGGTGACCTCCTTGGGAGATCACATATGGCGGGCATGTATCTGGTAGATGTTGCCTCCGAGAAGTTTTCCGACGCCGGGGACGGAAGACCTCCATGCATCTCTTGCCCACCAGGTAGGCGACCTCACTGAGGTTGAGTAGGATACAGATGGCTGCCGTGACCACCATGAAGTAGGTGAAGACCTTCTTCTCCGTGGGTCGGGAGATGTAACAGTTCACGGTGTGGGGGCAGGGATCCACAGAGCAAGCTACCACTCGAGGCATGTCATAGTCCTTGTAGATGCAGTGGAAGATATAGAGAAAACCCGAGTCCACAGCAGCTTTGAAGATGAGGCTCAGCAGGTATGTCCACCACAGGCCGCCCCTCTTCTTGCTTAGGTTGCTGTACAGGGCCGGGGCGTTGGGCCCATGTTTGCGACGGTGTTTCCGTTCCCGCTCTTCTCGGTAGGCCACATGCATGACCACAAGCAGGGAAGGGCAGGTGACCAGGATGAGCTGTAGGGCCCAGAGACGCACGTGGGACACGGGGAAGAACTCATCATAGCAGACGTTGGGGCAGCCGGGCTGCTGAGTGTTACAGATAAAGTCCTTTTGCTCGTCATCCCACACCTCCTCTGCCGCCACCACGTACACCAGCACTCGGAAGATGAAGACCACCGACAGCCAGATGCGGCCCAGTGCGGTGGAGTACTTGTTCACGCCGCTCAGGATTCCCTGGAGAAACCCCCAGTTCATGTTGGCTGTGTCCTCACAGTGCTTCACGTGGACGTGTGCGTGCGTGCGTGCGTGCGTGCGTGCGTGCGTGCGTGCGTACGTGCTAACCTCTCAGGCCCTGGGAGTCACAAGGCCTGGGAGAACCCACAAATAGGTGTCCTTATAGATGATGTCAAGGCCAGGACTGTTTCACAACAACCACTGGGCCATTGTGTCTTCACTCGCAGTGACTCAGAGAAGGGACGGCCACAGTCCCCATTTCACAGGAAAGTGTGTTAAGACTGAGAGGTAGCAGGTACCTGCCCAAGATTTCACAGCAGCAAGTAGCACAGATGGTCTTGAACCCTGGTCTCCAGACTCCAAAAGTCAGGGTCTCTTTCCTTCTACAAAGAAACAAGCACATGGGACATAAGCATCACACATGCATGTGCCAGCCGGCCCTTTCATCCCACGTCTCAGCCGTAGTGAGCGTCACACATGCATGTACCCGCTGGCCCTTTCATCCCACGTCTCAGCCGTAGTGGCCCAGAGACCTCTAGTATCAGATTATTTGCTCTTCCATCAGCTTTGGGGACTAGATGAGGGCAAGAAGGGACAGGGTAGGTAGGCCTTTATTGGTGGTCAGATCCATTGAATTTTTCTTGGACCCAGCCCCGGCAGGGCCCTATGTTGGAAATGCCCCGTCTGGCTCTGTGGTCTCTATCTCAGAACAGTCTCCATCCTCACTCCCTTGCGACTCTGGGAACTTTCTGAGACATCCCTTCCCAAACGACACACAGGCTCTTCGGCAACCGCTGTGGCTTGGCATCGTTCCCACGCTGCTGTGTCAGAGCAGAGCAGATTGTCGTACTTATTTATTCGTCTTTTTTATTGTCTTGAAACCTGGACCACGGTGGGTCCCTCTGGAATTCCAACCATTTCATTGGTGTGTGTGTGTGTGTGTGTGTGTGTGTGTGTGTGTGTGTGTGTGTGTGTGTAAGAGATGGGGAGGAGGCAGGGGCTGGGTCCTGGCAGGGTCTTTGCCCTGACATTGATCTTTCTTCCCAGGTACACCCCTCTCCTCTGACTGCCTAATTAGTGGCTGACTGATAATCACATCTTTCATTATTTTCGTACAGGCATGTTCTGGGTACCCCAGCTTTGCTATCCCCTGGGCTGGAGTTCCTGTGGTGTCCCACCTCAAGCTCTCCTTGCACCCTCTCTGACTCAGCTCCTGGATTCTACAGCCGGGTATCCCTGGGACACAGGCTGAGCCCCCCTGTCTTCCACTGCAGGGTACATCGTGTGTACTCCAGCGGCCCAGCCAAATGTCTCCCTTCCTTGGTAGACTGCTAGAGGCTGGAAGACAAACTGTACATCTGTCTCCTGGGACCCAGCTTCTTGTCAGGTCCCATGCGCTCTCAACGGATGCTGGGTAAACCAAGCTGTAGCCTTGTTCTTCCCAGTCTCTTCTAGATTCTTCTCTGGCCTCCCTTTAGTACAGCATAGCCCAACATTTCCTCCCCTCTGTGGAGGATTCCTAGGGTTCTCTCAGGGACCCTGCCCTTCCCTGATCCCCTCGGAAGCTAGGTCCCCAGGCCTAGGGTCCCTAGGACCTTTCCCCCAGCTCTCCTCACCCTTCTTGGGTCCCCGTGCGTCCTCACTCTCCGGTGCCGGCTTGTCTGGCTGCCCGAGGGCCTCCTGGAGGCAGCTTTTGTTCCTTACTTCCCAGCAGGGTGGGGCTTTCTGAGCCAATGAGCCAAGAGAGAGTGCCCGGGTGGGTAGGCAGCCTGGGCAGAAGGACTTCCCTGGGCACAGTGCAGAGCTAACACCTGTGGCTCATCTCTCTGGCTCACGCCTTGCTCCTCCAGCCTGTCTGGGTTGGTAGGTATGTGGGTGGGACTACAGTGATGGAGGCAGGAGTCTGGTGCCAAAATGTACAGGTACAGGATGGGGCTAGTGCCACTGATCCTGTTCCCGACGACCCTTTCAGCTTGTCGCTTTTGTCCCCTGGTTCCCAACTCTCTCTTTTGCCCTGTCCTCAGGCATCTGGTCCGGAGGTCCTCAGCGGCTGGTTTCTAAGGAAAGGGACAGCCTTGATTCAGCCCAGGACTGTGTGCCGCTCTGCTGGGGCTATATCTGGGGACGGGATCTTAGGCTGCTCTGTCTTGGAACCTACACAAGTCACCTGTCTTTTCTAGACCAGGGCACCCACTGCCCTGCTGGAGATGAGGAATGCAGGTTGGTGACATGAAATGCTGTTGTTGGCTTGGGGCCAGGCATATGGCCTTGTTGTATTCCCTCTGTGTCCTAGGCCTGTCTGTTGGAAATGCCTCTGGAGAAGCTAGCATGTGGCATGGGCTACAGAGGAGTGTTGGGCTTGTGTCTGGCGGGGACAGTGGAGGTTAATGTACACCCAGGGAGGGGTCCCTGCCTCATTTCACACAAGCATTTATTGAGTACTTCCTAATAGCGATGAGTCACATGTGTGTGACCTTTTTTGGCTGGCTAACCCTGGTACTGCCAGGAGCTTGTCAGTGCTCACAGTGACCCCCACAGGCTATGCATTAATAACTCACTTTGGAGAGGAGTTGAAGTTGTTTAAGTCCTGAAGCAGCAGCCACACAGACTCCAGAATCTGGGTGCTTTCTGTTGCAACATGTGATTCTCTGTGTACCAAACCCCATCATCTCTGCAGACACCCACAGCCCAAACTTCCAGCCCGGGCAAAAGGCTAGCTTTGGAACTGTCCCCAGGAAAAAGCTAGAGACCCCTTTTTTGGAGGAGAGGATGACCCCTTGACTCCAGGAAGATCACAAAGGCCAAGACCAAAGGGCACCTTGAATCTGTGAACGCATTTATCTTTATTAATTTTTCACCCTGGGCCACACATGGAAGGCATTTGCTCATCTGTGCCCCCATGAAACTCCTCCTCCAGGAAACCCTGTTAAGTGGCACTCAGTGTGTTTATTTAACAGAAAAGGAAATTGAGGTACAGAACAGAGGGGTAATTCAGTGAAGGCCACTCAGCTGGGACAAGTGGCCTAGAGCTGAGAGACAATTGGATCCCAAGCTGTGGGAGTCTCCCCTTATGCCTGCCTCCAACTCCAGCTCAGCTCTTCCCTCACCAGATACATCTGTGAGAGACACTGGAACCTTCCGATTCATGCCCACCCTGCCAGTCCAGCCTGGGGACCCCTCACAGGATCGTTTTCTTCACATAGGCTCGGGGGCGGTCTGGTAAGAGAGGTGGGTGAGTGTCTGAGCCCAGAAAGATGAGGTCTCCTGACAGGAGGTCCTTCTGTTTGCTGGAAGAGTTGACCCAGTTTGGGTCATGCTCTGGGTGTGCAGTGAGTGCCCGCCCCGATGCCATGCACTCAGAGCACCGCTTAATCACCAGGTAGGCCAGCTCCACAAGGTTAAGCAGGATGCAGATGACGGCTGTCACCAACATGAAGACGATGAAGATGTTCTTCTCCGAGGGCTTAGAGATGAAGCAGTCCACTATGTTGGGACACGGTGTTGCGTGGCACTTGACCACGGACGGGAGGGTATATCTGGGGTAGAACACGTGGAATATGTAGAGGAAGATGACGTCGATGCTGGCCTTGAACAACAGGCTGAAGACGTATGTCCACCAGAGTCCACCCCGCTTCTTGCCAGGGTACAGGTAAAGGTGTCCCTTGCCAACCTCTTCTTGGTACCTCTTCTCTCGAGCCTTGCGGTAGGCCACATGCATGACCACCAGCAGGGAGGGGCACGTGACCAGGATGAGCTGCAGGGCCCAGAGGCGCACATGAGACACGGGGAAGAACTCATCAAAGCAGACGTTGGTACAGCCCGGCTGCCTGGTGTTGCAGTCAAAATCCTTCTGGTCTTCGCCCCACACACGCTCAGCTGTCACCAGGTACACCAGCACTCGGAAGACGAAGACCAGAGACAGCCAGATGCGACCGAAGGCCGTCGAGTACTTGTTGACCCCACTTAGGAGCCCCTCAAAGACAGTCCAGTTCATGGTGGACTCAAGGGCGGGCTGCTCCTGCAGGGGAAGGAGAATGGAATTTCCCACGTTACGGAATACTCGCTCTGAGCACTTCACAGAAATGTGTCATTACAGGACTAGGTACTCTAATCACCCCCATTTTACAGCTGAGAGAAACTGAGGCGCAGAGGCGTTTATGAAGTTACATGACTATTAAATGCAGAGCTGGCATGGAGGCATAGGTTATTAAGTCAAAGCAGGCCTGCTTATAAAAGCGGGTGGGTGCTGATGCCAGGAACCAGTCATCCTGAGTCCCTGAGCCTTGGGCTAGTCCCCCTCAGACTGCCCCCTTCAAGAGGAACCTGCTCTCTGTCCTTTGCTGGTTTGGGGGATGGAACTGCAAGTGTCCAGGCAATGAGGTGCTACTTACCTGAAGGCGGGACAATTTAGATTAAAGAAGGGAACCACAGTGCTCTTTATACAAGAGGCCCCCCAGAATAAGCAGGTGGGGCAATGTTTCCCAAACTATTGTTTCATGGCACCTTCCCTGGTCCAAAGGCAGGCAACAGGAATCATGAACACATGAATAATTCTGTGTTCAAGACAAAATAGCTGGGTTCAGCAAAATTAAGTAGGTCCCTTTGCTCACCCATGCTAATAAATTCACTTTGTGACTCCTTCAAAGTGGGATGAAATAGGGCAGCATTGCCCAAACTCCTCTGACCACAGAGCCCCCTTTCATCCTGACACAGCTTTGATCATCTTGTTGGACAGCTTTGTCAAAACACCAGCATGGAAAATGCTGTCCTGGTGGGTTCTGCTGGGTGAACTTGGCATGAATGGCCAACAGAAGCAAATTCATCTTTTGAGCAAAAGGGTCCCTACTTCTCCACCAGGGAGTCCTCTCTGCCTGATTCTTGGGGGATGATGGGGGTCCACTGAGGCCGAGACACTGTGGGCTCACTCTATTAAGTTTTGACGAAAGTAGGGAGCCACACACTTTCATGTGCTGGCCTGGGTGGAAAGTCACCATCCACATGACCCTGAAAGGTCAGCTGCAAAGCAGGGTGTGGTCCCAGCCAACTCAGACCGTGTTTATGCAGTAAGAGGCACACTGCTCAAAGCACTTTGCAAAAAAAAATACAGTATTGTTCCCTTGTAGCAAGGGCTATGGCATTTCTCTCACCTGGTGGAGGTCGGAGAGGTTAAGCAATCCCTTGGCCGCACACAGCTCGTAAGTAACAGAGTCGGGACTCAGGCCTAGGCAGGCTGGCTCCCGAGTTCACTCTGCACACTGTCCAGTTTTGAGTTGGGGTCCTTTCTTAAGTTTTAGTGAACTGCTCTGCTCGCTCTTCCAATGCATCTCCCTTCTCTACCTGGGGGGCTCTTGGGTGAGAGTGTCGGGGGGGGGGGTGTCTCTGCTCCTCACCCCATCTGTCTATACCACTCACCCCTTGGCCACGTGGTGGCCTTGCTTTGAGTCAGTCTCAGGTGGGTGGAGCTGGCAGCAGCGTCTGAGGAACACCCAGGGAGGCCTAGCCCTAACCCCGGGCTCTGCAGGCTCAGTCAGGCATTGCTGCTCTGTCTGCAGCCCAGCTCCGCCCTGCTCGGCCCCTTTCCCACTCAGCTCCGGTCCCCCAGTTCTGTCACCTCTGCTGGCTGGGGAGAGGAAGAAGAGCCCAGAGCAGAGCGAGGAGTGCTTCCCTTCTCCATCAGGACCCAGGATGGCCCGTGGGTCCAGGCTACCCCCCTCCAGCCTCCTCGGGAGAACTTGTCCCTGTTAGGTGTGCTTTTCCCTGCGAGGTGTGCCGAGTCCTGGGCACCTCTGAGTATAGAGGCCTTTACCTGAACAACGACTCCTCAGGGCTCTCTAGTACCGCTCCTGGAAGCCAGCAGTTGGGGTTCAGCAAGCATCAGAATTCATGTCAGAATCAGGGAAGGGTTTCTGGGAAAGCTCATACTTGGGGCAGAGGCTGTTGAGCAGCCCAGGCGTGTCCTGTTGGCCAGGAGGGATGGGGGGAGGGAGGAGCTGTGGACTGCATAGCCATTGGCTAGTCTCAAAGACTGCCTCTCGTGAGGCTGAGAAACCTAGGAATTCCGTCCTCTCAGAGCTAGAATCCTGGCATCCTCTAGGAGAACCCCTACTTTTCCATCTTTTCATCCCTAACCTTGTATGAAGGGGCAGAGGCCAGCCCTGCCCCCTTTAAATTCTTCCAGAATTCTCCAGGGCCAACTTTCTCTCTTCTCCCTCTTTTCCTCCTTCCCTCCTTCCCTCCTTCTCCTCTCTCTGCCTCTCTCTTGCAGTTGAACCCCACACCCCTGTACTCACGTCCTGTATCCCTGTATCTGGCTGGGCCTCACAGCCTGGATTGAACTCCACTCACCCTTTCCAGCTCCTGTTTGCTTTGGTATAATAGGGTCTTTAGATATAGCCCAGGTTGGCCTCCAACTCTGGATCCTCCTGGTTCAGCCTCTTGAGCGCTGAGAATCTCAGTTTGGAGACTAATCAATGTTGAATGCATACCCAGCCCCAGCTCACGCCTGGATGAAGCATGTCTGCCATACACCTTCCCTCCCAAGACACATCACTGCTTTCTTGTGCTCTGGAGAACTCGACAGCATCTCAGCACCAAGTTTTGAGACTTTTTAAAGTACCCAAATTACCCAAAACAAACAAACAAAACCAAAAACTAAACAACAACAAAAAAAACCCACCAAAAAAAACCCCCCAAAAAACAAAAACAAAAAAACCCAAACCCACGAAGCATGGGGTGTAGCTCAGTCACTATAGTGTGCTTTAGTGTGCTTATCTAACAAATATAAAGACCTGGGTGAGATCCTCACCAAGGCATAAAGCGGGTGTGGTAGTGCATGCTTGTAATTCCAGCACTTGGGAGCTGGAGTCTAAAGGGTGAGGAATTCAAGGTTATCTTCTCTACGTAGTAAGTCTGAGGCCAGCCTGGGCTAGACGAGACGGTCACAAAAACAAACAGCATAAAAATGAGACAGACACGTGCAGGGTTTATAGAATGATGTGGAGCTGCAAGGAGGCAGGCTTGGCTCCCTTGACTTCAGCCGCGGAAGTAGCTCTGGGTAGCTCAGCGTTTTCGCCGGTCCTTGTGTGCGTGGCCACCATGGTCCCCTAGATCAGATATCTGCGTTACACGCCCGTTCTAATGAACAGGTGAATTCCGTGACAAACCCTGTGTGTGAGGCTCCCCCTGATGGAGAGGAAAGGCTGGTTGGAACGGGTTTATGGCACGTGTGTTGCATTTAGGACATGGTAAGCAACTGTGGTACTTTTGGTGGGCTCTGTTTTGGTGACCTGGCTGGTGGCAAGGTCCCTGATAGAGAGTGGGGGTGGGGCGGGGAGTGGTGGGGGAGGTGTAAGGTTTCCTGCAGGGGTCTCGGGTGTTGGGGAGTTCAACAGGAGACACAGCACCAGAGGAATGGGGGCCAGGCAGAGGTCTCTAGGGAGCAGGCAGAGGAAGGGGCACCTGTGGAGAGGGAACCAGAGAGAGAGCCAGGGCCAGCAGGGGTGGGGAGAAGACTGCCCAGGGGAAACCCAAGAAACAGAGCCACAGAGCAGAGCGCTCTGGGACTTTCAGCGGAGTGATTTCAGTCGTGGGGTGGGGACAGAAACTGGAGGTGTGGATGGGGAAAGTGCAGTGGGAAAGGAGAAAGGCAGGGCCGCAGGTGGAGGACAGGGCTGCGGGAGTGTGGGGTCTGCTCCCTCAGGAGAGAGGGCCAGGGATCTGCGGATGAGAGGAGTCCGGAGGGAGGGAGGGAGGGAGGTTTGGAACGTGCACCTGGTCTTGCTTCACCTCCCTCATCATCTTCTCCCCACAGGCTCTTTCTGGACCTAATTATCTGGCTTCACCACCTTCTACACGTACTCCTGGCTCGGGTGGCCCTGGTCTTCCTGCTGGGTTACCCCTGCTGGCTTCCTGCCTGACCCTGGCGTCAACAAGTGGGGTGGATGGGAGGTGGTTTGCCTTCCGGAGATGTTCAGGACCTGGGGCTCCTCTGATAAGAGGACAGGAATGCATGGGTGCCCTGGCCCAGTCTCCACAGCTGACCCCGATAACCCCTGCTCCCTGAGGCCAGCAGCTGTTGCTCAGTGTGCCTGTTCCGTCTTCTCAGGATGGGAGCGAGGAAGGGCTGGAAATCCAGGAGGACTGGTAACATCAGCTCTGTTGGTGGGCACTTTTCTCCCAGTCAGAGCATGTCAAATGTCTTACATGTATCACATATGTAGCAACCTCTCTCTCTGGGCCCCTTACCAATACAGCAGTCCTAGGAAAATACAGATCATATCAAAAAAAAAAAAAAAAAAAAAAAAAAAAAAAAGATGTGGAAGGCCTTCAGTGGCTTCCTAATGCTCTGGAGATAAAAGCCCATCTTGCTAATGTGACCCGTAACACCCGGCACGATCCGGTTTCAGCCACCTTCTTCACGCTCAGCCTCTTCCTTTCGATCATCGATCGATCGTCACACTCCAGCACCGTATCCTTTGTTCACTTTCTCCTCTGTCAGAACATCCGACTCTCTTTCCTACCCCAGGGCCTTTGCATATGCTTTCCGTTTGCTTATTTATTGTTTCCTCTTCCTCTTCCTACTCTTCCTTTTCCCTTTCTTCTTTTTTTGAGACAGGGTCTCGCTGTGTAGCTTTTGTTAGCCTGGACCTTACTATGTAAACCAGGCTGGCCCCAAATTCATAGAACACCACCTGCCTCTGCCTCCCAAGTGCTGAGGCTAAAGGTGTGTGCCGCCGTGTCCAGCTCTTTATTTTCCCCAAGTCGGTGCCCGCTCAACCTTGAGACTTCAGTTTAAATGTCACTGCCTCAGAAAAGCCAAGGAAACCTTTTCTGAGGACCACCCGGGTCTGGTTCTGTGATGTATTCCCTGGGGACAGGGGACTGTCACAGTTGCTCTTACAATGTCATGGGCTTGCTTGGGAGGTTAGTGTCTTCTCTCTTCCTTTAGACTGACATCTTAAGGAGCTGGAATCACACTGTTCCGTCTCCACTATCAGCCGCAGCACCTGGAAAGCAGCAGGTGCTAGTGAGCTCTGCATGGTCAAGAATGAATGGTTCTGTTTCTCAGGAGGCAAGAAGCGCCAGCATCCAGCAGGCCTTGCGTGCAGGGCCCCGAATCCTTAGATAAGCGGAGCTGGTGTTCTGGAACCCAGCGGCTTCCAGCTGCCTGACCTCTCACCGCAGCAGGCTTGCTGACTGGCTGGGCAACACCTTGCAAGTCCCTTTTTGTGTTTTTCAGTAATTTATTTTGGGCACATCATCCCACCCCCTCGCCATGGGGCTATTGTTAGCTGCTGGGAGAGGGGGAGACACTTTTCCCTAAGAGTGTAGCCTCTGGTAAGTCAACCACGCCTCAGTTGAAGTCCACACACCCACAGATGTTTTGGGCAACACATGTGGTTTTGAAAGATTAAAAAAAAAAAAAAAAAAGGATGCGAAGTTGGATGGGTAGGGAATGGGGAGTGGATCTGGGAAGAACTGGGGGAGGGGGGGAATGAACGTGATCAAAACAGATCTAAAACTCTCAACTAACACAAAATAAAATAATAATTCTAAAACAAAATATTTATTATTATTTGTGTGTGTGTGCTCATACTTGTGTACCATGGTGTGTGTGTGCGTGTCCACATGCATGCGTACCATGGTGTGTGTGTGTGTAGGTCAGGGGACAACTTTGTAGCGTTGGTTCTCTCCTCCCTCCTATGGAGGCTCCTGGGACTGAACCCTCAGGCTTTGGGGCAGGGTGCTCCCTGCTGTCTCCTCAGTCATCCTTGCAAACGTCTCTTAGCCTTTCTGAGCCTCTGCCCCTTTATCTGGAATAAGGGGGAAACTAGCTCCTACCCAATGGTTAGTGCGAGCACAGAATGCGTAGGAAGAGGAAAAGTGGGGGTTCCCGGATCACACATACCTATCAGTGGGAACTGAAGTCATTTTCAGAGGGGACAGTCTGGGAGGGAGGCTGGGGTGAGGTTTGGGATGGGCCTGTGCCAGCTCTGTGGGGTTCTAGGAAGAGAGGCCTGAGTAGTCCAAGCCCAGTCCTCCAGCATTGGGGTTGGGGGAATATGGGATGTCATATTCACAGCTCCATTCCTGCCCTGGAACTGAGTCAGGGAGCCTCAGAAGACCAGCGCCCAGTCCCAGCAGAGCCGGGTCCACAGAAGAACTGTTCCTCTGATGTCCTGGCTCCGCTTCCAGAGGTCACATTTCAGAACTCGAGGCCATTTGGCTTCACCTGGACACTGAAGGAGTAGAGAGGCTTCACCTGAGCTTTCAGTGGGAGTGGGTGGGAGGCAGGGCTGCTGTCTCACAGTAGGGCAGGGGTTAGGAGATACAGAGTTCAGGAAGGAAGCTGGCAGGAAGAGCTGTGTGACAGACAGGATCCACACAGAGTGGTCCTGGCCTCACCTGTTTGCTGTCTGAGGCACAGCCTCTTCTCTGTGGGCTGCAGTGGAGGCAGGGAGGAGGGGTGTTGGAAGAGGCTGGCCGGGGCTTTCCCAGAGCACCCCCTGCCATTCCGTAACTTTCTGTTCTGGGGCCAGTGCTCTTGTGTGTGGTTGCAACATCTTTGTTTTCCTCGGGGGCTGCAGGTGGGGACAGATGGCTATCTGGATCTACCCCACAAAACCAGAGTTTTGCCTCTGCTTTCTTTGAGTGTAGCCTGTGGAGATGGAACCTGGGCTGTGTCCCTGGGCCTCTTCTAGAAGTTTCTGGGCTCCTCAGCGTTGGATATTGGCCACTGCATGCTTGGCGCCTCTTCTCATTCACAGACATGTTGTCAGCCCCTAGCTTGCTGGAAACAGTCAGATCTTAAGCTTTAAAAGGTTTAAAAATTTTGAGACAGTGTCTCTTGTAGCCCAGGCTAGCCTCAAACTCAGGATGTAGCTGAAACTAGCTTTGGACTTCTGATCCTCC